GGCACTTTTTCCCATTTTTTTTTTGCCACTCATTTTTTCCGTCGTTGTCTTCTTCTTTTTCTTTTGCCATGGCTCAGCTTTAATGGCAACACCCATTATTTGTGTAAGGAAATTGTTTTGAAGATGTTTGATTTGATTTCATTTTACGAGCTGAGCTGAGCTGGCTGGCTGACTGGCTTGAATGCCGTTTGGCAGCATTGATTCTTCAGCGATGTGTGATGTCGTTGCTCTTTAAAGATTGTGAAATCGTTAAAAAGGGTTTGATTTGATTTTTTTTTCGTTGTTGTTGTTGTTGCTTTTGTCTTCTGCATGTGTTTAGCTCTGCTGTTGATTTCCAAGCGTATTGAGATCACTAACTCACCTAGACTTTTTGCTATTTATTTTGAGTTTGCTTCTTTTCCTCAGACACCTTCTCAAATAAAGGCTTGTTAATAAAGAGGTGTTCCCCTGCTGCTGCTGCTGCCTTCAATGTAATCGAATCGAATCGCATCGTATTGAGTATGTGAATATAGTTAATTATATAGCTGGAGAGTGCTAGACATTTGCAAGTAGGCGTTAAATGTAGACTATGCAATGTAGAAAGTTATTCAATACTCTGTCGAAAGATATTTTCTTCTCTTGGGTATGGATACAAGGTGGGGTTTTGAAATTAAACGAAAAAAAGAAACCCAAAACAAAAGAAAATATTTGTTATGGTCTATTAAAGGAATACAATGAGACATGCATTTTGTTTCAGTCACAAATATGGGTCAGAAGTTACAGAAAAAAAAATAACAAAAATATATTTCTATATCCATAGATTTTTTCAAAATATTTTGAAGCTACTATTATCAGGAAAATCCACGTTTGTAAATGTTGTTCGAAATGTTTGTAAATTAATGTTGAAATAATGTTTTTTTAAAAATCCACGCCTGTCAAAGTTCGATGAAAAAATATTTTAAAAAAACAAGCCTATAAAGGTTCGATGAAAAAATATTTAAAAAAAATCCACGCCTGTAAATATTCGATGAAAAAATATTAAAAAAAAAATCCACACCTATAAAGGTTTGCTGAAAAAAAAATATTTTTAATCCACGCCTGTAAAGGATGGTTGAAAAAATATTTTTAAAAAATCCACACCTTTACAGGTTTGTGAAAAAAAATATCTTTAAAAAATCCGCACCTGTAAAGATTCGATGAAAAAATATTTTAAAAAATCCACGCCTGTAAAGGTTCGATGAAAAAATATTTTAAAAAAATCCACGTCTGTAAAGGTTTGATGAAAAATATTTTTAAAAAAATTCACACCTGTAAAGGTTTGATGAAAAATATTTTTAAAAAAATCCACGTCTGTAAAGGTTTGATGAAAAAATATTTTTAAAAAAATCCACGCCTGTAAAGGTTTGATGAAAAAATATTTAAAAAAAATCCACGTCTGTAAAGGTTTGATGAAAAAATATTTTTAAAAAAATCCACGCCTGTAAAGGTTTGATGAAAAAATATTTAAAAAAAATCCACGTCTGTAAAGGTTTGATGAAAAAATATTTTTAAAAAATCCACGCCTGTAAAGGTTTGATGGAAAAATATTTTTAAAAAAATCCACGCCTGTAAAGGTTTGATGAAAAAATATTTAAAAAAAAACCACGCCTGTAAAGGTTTGATGAAAAAGTACTTTAAAATCCACGCCTGTAAAGGTTTGATGAAAAAATATTTTAAAATCCACGCCGGTAAAGGTTCGATGAAAAATATTTTAAAATCCACGCCTGTAAAGGTTCGATGAAAAAATATTTTAAAATCCACGCCTGTAAAGGTTCGATGAAAAAATATTTTTAAAAATCCACGCCTTTAAATAACTGTTAATTTTTTTTTAAAAAATCCACGCCTTTAAATAGTTGTTAAAAAATATTTTTAAAAAATCCAAGCCTTTAAATAGTTGTTAAAAAATATTTTTTTTAAAAAATCCACGCCTTTAAATAGTTGTTAAAAAATATTTTTAAAAAATCCAAGCCTTTAAATAGTTGTTAAAAAATATTTCTAAAAAATCCACACCTGTTGAAAAAATATTTTTTACAATTTTCACGCCTGTAAAGGATTGTTGAAAAAATATTTTTTGAAAAAATCGACGCTTATAAACGGATGTTGAAAAAATATAAACAAATCCACGCCTGTAAATAACTGTTGAAAAAATATATTTAAAAATTCCACGCCTAAAAGTAGCCCTCTAAAAATATTGTTAAAAATTCCACGCCTAAAAGTAGCCCTCTAAAAATATTGTTAAAAAATCCATGCCTTTAAATAGTTTTTGAAAAAATATATTTAAAAATTCCACGCCTTTAAATAGTTTTTGAAAAAATATATTTAAAAATTCCACGCCTAAAAGTAGTCTACTAAAAATATTTTTAAAAAATTCCACGGCTAAATTCCACGTCTTCTAAAAATATTTTTAAAAATTCCATGCCTAAAAGTAGTCCTCCAAAAATACTCTTAAAAAAGATTTCAAAAAATCAGCGCCTGTAAAAAGTTGTTTTAAAATATTTTCAAAAAATCCACGCCTGTAAATACTCTTCTAAAAATATTTTTCAAAAAAATCCACGCCTGTAAATAGTCTTCTAGAAATAGTTTTAAAAAATCCATGCCTGTAAATACAGGGCGAGATAAAAAAACTGCAGCAAAGCCAAAGGCCATCATTTTTACATTTTTTTTTTAAATTTTATTGAATGAAAGCAAAAAATATCGGAAATAGCATCAAATTTTAGAATAAGCTTAGATTTGTTTTAATTGATCACCTTTGACACGAATTATGGCCTTCAAACGGCCAATGAAACCGTCACAATCTGCCCGAATATTGCTTTGCGGTATTTTGGCCCATTCCCGCCGAAGCGTTTGCTTGAGGTGATCGACACTTTGGTATTTTTAGTGCCAACCTTGCTTTCCAAAATACTCCAGACACAATAGTCCAACGGATTGCTATCCGGAGATTTTGATGGCCATTGTGCGCTGGAAATGGAGCGAGGAACCTCATTTTGTAATCATTCTTGGGTTGCCGCGTGCTGAGTCCTATTGGAATGTCCGAGGTCAGCGGTCAAAATGTTTGTGTGCCCAAGGCGTTAATACACCCTCCAGAATATTTTCTTTATAATATTCGGCATTTAATATGATTCCACGGTCGATTAATATGAGCGCAGAGCGACCATCGGCTGTTATGGTGGCCCACACAATCACCATGGCCGGCGCTTAAGTTCTGGTGGCCAAGTAAAGACGATCCTTTTGTTTGTTTACAAACTGCTGGACAACAAAGGTTTTCTCATCGGAGAAAAACAAATTCGGGAGTTCACCACTTTCGGTAGTGCCTTGTTTTTTTTTAAATATTTTTTTAGGGGATAAAAAACATAAATAGTTTCCGAGAAGGGATATATTTACTTACTTTCAGCCTGTTTTCGAAAATATAAAAAAATTTTTTATTTTATTTTTTGAATTTCCTTTATTTCATCTTCTATAAAATTTTTCACATTATTGTATAAAAAAAATAATTTAATAATTTATTTATTTTATTTTGTTTTTTCCATATATATAAAACTATGCTGCTATATAATAAAGAAAAGCATTTGCTAATTGACTACAAAAATAATAAAAATAATTTTTCTACATGTTGTGGATTTATAACTAATATAAATACATATTGTTCTATACAAAATGAATATAAAATATTATCAAATAATACATAAATTTTTAAATTCATTTAAAAATGTAACTATAACTAAAAGGAAAACTAAAGTAAATTCATAAATTTTTATTTTTTACAAAGATTTGCTAATTTTGTTCTTAAATAAATTCAATTGAAAAAAATTCTCCTATTGACAATTCAATTCTGGTGATGAGATTCACAAGACAATATTAAGATATTTTTTGAGAAAGAATTGGAAAAAATACAAAAAAAGAAACAAAAAAAAATAGAAAAAAAAATCAAAAAATATAAAAATAAAAATAGAAACTAAAAAATATCCAAAAAAATACAACAACAACAAAATAGAAACCGAAAAAAAAAAAACAAAAATACTTGGGAATTTTTTGAAAGATTTGATTACAAGAAATACAGAATTTATGACAACTATAAAAATATAGAAATCAAAAAAAAAAAAAAATAAAAAAATCAAATATAAAAAAATGGAAAATAAAAAAAAAAACATCCAAGAAATATTAAAAAAAAAAAAATGAAAAAAAAATCCTAAAAACATAAGGGATTTTTTTTTAAAGATTTGATTACAAGAAATACGGAATTTAGGATAATTATAAAATTTGCAAATTATGGGTCCCAAAAATCTGAAATCTTAACATGAATCCAAAGAAAGAGGGCATTCTTTTCTACAATTTCCAGTTTATTACTCCCCCCTTAGTAAAGCTCTCAAAAATTGTTTTTTACGATCTCCTCTTTTTCCCATTATTACTCTCTCTCATTCCCTAACTCTTCCTTGGTAAAGCTGTCTTCAAAAATATTTTTTTTACGATCTCCCCTTTTTCTTTTTATCATTTTCACTCTCTCTTTCCCCTTTTCTTTTTTATAAAAATTTCCAAATTATGTGTTCCAAAAATCTGAAATCTTAAAATGAATCTTGAGAAAGAGGGATTTTTATCTACAATTTCCAATTTATTACTCTCTCTTAGAAAGTTCTCAAAAATGTTTTTTGCGATCCCTTTCACTCTTTCTCTCTCATTCCCTTACTCTTCCTTAGTAAAGCTCACTTCAAAAATCATTTTTTTCGATCTGCCCTTTTTCTCCCTATCACTTTCACTTTCTCTTTCCCGCATCTCTCTTTTTTCCCTCTCACTCTGTTGCGTTGTAGAATTTATAAAAAAATGGTAAGACTTCTGTGGGTATGTCACTCGACTCCTCCTATTTTTACTTTACTCTGATGTTTTCCTCTTCAAGCCTGATTTATCCCTTTCTATCCTTTCCCAATTCCTTATTTCCCCAAAGCTTAAAAAAAATTGCGATAGAATTTTTATTTTTGCTCTCTCTCTCTCTCTCTCTCCTACTAATCTCGATCTGCAGTTTCTCAAATCTTCTGTGTCAAATCCAATGCCGCTGCTCCCAATTTAGCAATTTTCCTGGGTATCTCCTCCGGTTCTCCCAATTTGTTACTCTCCTCAGAAAGATTTCTCTTCAAATTCGATTTTTCATGATCTCTTTTTCTAATCAATTCCTCCGAAGTCTTCCACGGATCCAAAACCCTCGCGGTCTTTTCCTTTTCATTTTCTGTTTCAGAGGACGAGGAGGATGAATCACATTTATCATTAGCCCTAATTTGGGCCCCCCTTCCACTATCCTGACTACCATCACTGACCGTGCTGGTCACCGAGCTCACTGCTTTCATGCTCAAATCGATGGGATTGTCTTGAGAGTTATGCTCGGTGGTGGGGTTTTGAGATTTTTCATCATCACATCTGGGATGTGGACCATCATCCACCTCTAAGGGGGAGTGGGGTGGAGTCATTGAAACCACTAAATCTTCATCCTCCTCTTCATTAGCATTCTCTTCTCCAGCCACATTTCTGGCCCTCTCCCCATCATGGCCATTGGCTTGGGATTCAAGAGCGCGATTTTTATGTGGACTCTCCTCCCTCTCTTGTTCCTCCTCCTCATTACTTTGGCGGGAATGATTGTGTTGAGCCCTACCACTCTCCGAGTTGGGTGTTACCAGGGCACTAATGGAATGATCATGTTTACTGATATTCGGCAATTTGGTGGCTGGTGGAGGGCTATGGGCCTGCTGCTGTTGCTGGGATTTTAATACCGCATCCAAATAGAATCTCTTGGTTAACTCCTCGGCAGCCTTACTGCCATTGGGTATGTGATTATTGTTCAAGGCATCGGATCGAGGACTATCAGGTTTATCTTCGGACGGGGTTAGTTTGTGATGACTCTCATGCATGGCCAGGGGACTGGTGGTGGGATTGGGAACACCATGAAATCTGGGAGAATTTTGAAATAATTGATGCATTGCTGCGGCGGCAACCTGTTGCTCCGGTGAGGGTTTCATCAGCCCTGCATGGGCATGTTGATAGAGGGCAGGATGATAGCCGGGGAACAGCAAATGTGATGGAGGTAGAAAACTGGGTGGTGGCATGACAGGCATTGATGACAGGGCGGGAAATGACAAGGGCAAGAAGGGCGGTAGATCTTTCCTCAGGGGATGGGGTGCAGGAACATTGACATTTGTGGAGGCAGAGGAACCGGAGGCCGATTCGGCGGCAACATGTTTGGCTGATAAGTGTAGCAAACCGGGATTACTGGCCGCCACCCCTCTACCATTTACCTCCCCTGAATTATCCGAGTTATGGGAATCCGGCGAACTAACCGAGGGTGAGGTTACCGGATGTTTGGCATATTCTTCCAGGCTCAACATCATCAATTCTTCTTTGGTACGTGGTGGATAGAGCCCTGGATAGGCTCCGGCATGGCCCAGCATACCTAGGGCTGCAGCCGCGGCAGCTGGTGGTGGTATACCACCCCGGGCCGCCAACAAACCCGGATGATGCCCCGCCGTTTGATGCTGTGCCTGTTGCTGTTGTTGATGCTGATGATTTTGCTGATGCGCCGCCATGGCAGCTGCCGCCTGTTGCTGCTGTTCCTGCAACAGACAATGGATCTTAAACCAATTCGAGCGACGTCCATAACGGGAGCCACTCTTGGACATGCCCACCATCAGACATTTGCGCAGGCGGCAAGCCTTGCAGGCGGTGCGATTCTTTTTGTTGATGATGCATTCGCCGTTGTTTTTGCAATCCGAGATGGAAGACAAATTGTTGTAGGAGCGGCCGAAAAATGACTGAAATGGAAATGGAGAAGACGAGAAAGAGATGAGAATCAAATGGAATGGAATTAAATCGATTTTTAAATAAAAAAAAAATATTTAAAAAAATACAAAAATTAAAAAAAAAAAATAGAAAATAACGACGTAAATATTTGGAAGAGGTCAGGGGAGTTCATATAGACGAAATGAAGGTCAGGCAGTTCATAATGACGAACAAAAGACAGAGGGTCCATACAGACGGGCTTAAGGCTAGAGAGTCCATAAAAACGAGCTGTAAGAGGCCAAAGAGCCATATGGACGAGCTGGATAGCAGGGTGTCCATATAGACGGGCTGAAGACCAGAAAGCCCTTAAAGCCCAGCTGAAGGCCAGAAAGTCCTTAAAGACCAGCTGAAGGCCAGGGAGTTGAAATAGACGGGTTGAATATCAGAGTGCCCATATAGACGAGTTGCAGGTCAGAGTGCCAATATGGACGAGCAGGAGGCCAGAGAGCCCATATAGATGAACAGAAGGCCAAAGAGTCCATATAGATGTGCTGGATTCCAGTGAGTCTATATAGACGAGCCGAAGGCAATATGGACGAGCGGGAGGCCAGGAAGTCCATATAGATGAGTTGAAGGTCAGGGAGTCGATATAAATGTACTAAAGCCCGGGAGAGCTCATATGGACGAGCGGAAGGCCAGAAAGTCCATATAGGCGATCTGGAGGCCAGAGAGTCCATGTAGACGAGCTGGGGGCTAGAGAGTCCATATAGACGAGCTGGGGGCCAGAGAGTCCATATATAGACGAGCTGGAGGCCAAAGAGTCCATATAGACGAGCTGGAGGCCAGAGAGCCAATATAGACGAGCTGGAGGCCAGAGAGTCCATATATAGACGAGCTGGAAGCCAGGGAGTCCCTATAGACGAGCTGGAGGCCTGAGAGTCCATATAGACGAGCTGGAGGCCAGGGAGTCCATATAAACGAGCTGGAGGCCAGGGAGTCCATAAAGACGAGCTGGAGGCCAGGGAGTCCATATAAACGAGCTGGAGGCCAGGGAGTCCATATACGCGAGCTGGAGGCCAGGGAGTCCATATAGACGAGCTGGAGGCCAGGGAGTCCATATACGCGATCTGGAGGCCAGAGAGTCCATGTAGACGAGCTGGGGGCTAGAGAGTCCATATAGACGAGCTGGGGGCCAGAGAGTCCATATAGACGAGCTGGAGGCCAGGGAGTCCATATAGACGAGCTGGAGGCCAGAGAGTCCATATAGACGAGCTGGAGGCCAGGGAGTCCATATAAACGAGCTGGAGGCCAGGGAGTCCATAAAGACGAGCTGGAGGCCAGGGAGTCCATATAAACGAGCTGGAGGCCAGGGAGTCCATATAGACGAGCTGGAGGCCAGGGAGTCCATATACGCGATCTGGAGGCCAGAGAGTCCATGTAGACGAGCTGGGGGCTAGAGAGTCCATATAGACGAGCTGGAGGCCAGAGAGTCCATATAGACGAGCTGGAGGCCAGGGAGTCCATATAGACGAGCTGGAGGCCAGAGAGTCCATATAGACGAGCTGGAGGCCAGGGAGTCCATATAGACGACCTGGCGGCCAGGGAGTCCATATAGGCGAGCTGGAGGCCAGGCAGTCCATATAGACGAGCTGGAGGCCAGGGAGTCCATATAGACGAGCTGGAGGCCAGAGAGTCCATATAGACGAGCTGGAGGCCAGGGAGTCCATATAGACGAGCTGGAGGCCAGAGAGTCCATATAGACGAGCTGGAGGCCAGGGAGTCCATATAGACGACCTGGGGGCCAGGGAGTCCATATAGGCGAGCTGGAGGCCAGGCAGTCCATATAGACGAGCTGGAGGCCAGGGAGTCCATATAGACGAGCTGGAGGCCAGGAAATCCTTATAAACGAGATGGAGCCAAGGGAGTACATATATACGGAGTGTAGGCCAGAGAGTCCATATAGACGCACTGAAAGCCAGGGAGTCCATATAGACCAACTGGAGGCCAGAGAGTCCATATAGACGAGCCTGGAAGCCAGAGAGTCCATATAGACGAGCCTGGAAGCCAGAGAGTCCATATAAACTAGCCTGGAAGCCAGAGAGTCCATATAAACGAGCCTGGAAGCTAGAGAGTCCATATAGACCAGCTGTAGTCAAGGGAGGCTACATAGACGAGCTAGATGTGGTGAATGCCGAGGAGTACATACACACAAGCTGGTGTTCAGGGGACCCATACGGACCAGCTGAAGGCCAAAAAATCCATTTAGACAAGCCGGAGGCCTTGGTTACCTCAGGGTCCGGGAGAATTCAACATGGGAATATTTTTTTTCTTTTTTAAATATTTTTTTTTATAAAAATTTCAATTAAATCAGTTTTGAAAAAAATAATTAAAAACAGAAAAAAACTAAATCACACCGAAATCCTTCCCATCCAACTAGCACCCTTCCTCTCTCTCTTTCCCTCTCTCTTGGCTGTCATTATCAAATCATGTTTCGCCCATTGACTGTTAACGCTAATTTGTAGCCAAGCATTAGTTGCCAGGGCCTGAAGAGCAAAATTTCTACGTAGGTGTTTTTTTCGGTTTGGTTTTGGATTTCAACGATTTTGGCTTTTTTTGGGTGTAGGTTTGGTTTGGTTTTCGGGGTAAGTCTGGCTGCCAAACTGACGGTCTGTCTGGCTGGCTGGCTGGCAACATATCCGCTGTGTATATTTGGTTTGGTTTGCCTTTATTTTGAGTCATTAAGATTTATGTTTTGGTCCAAAGTAATTTGCTGCCTTAAAGTGATTAATTTGTCAACAAAATTAAAATTAATTTATATCGTGATTTTAAAGCTGCCATGATATTTATGAGTTCAATTCTGACAAACGGCGGCGGCGATGGCGACGAAGCAACGACGACGCCAACGACAATGTCCAACAGCTTATAATAACATTCAATATTTTGTTGTTTCATTTTTTTGCTTTTTTGGTTTGTCTTAAATGTCAATGGGAAGGTAAGTACAACTGCCAAAGGTATGGTAATCAATATGTCATTGATATATGGGTGTTATTAACCCATTGGGGGATGTTTGGAAATACAGAAAATTTTCAAATTATGTTAGAAAAAATAAAAACAATAATAATTACAAAACTCCTCATTCTTTCAATTTCCTCCTCATGTAGTCCATGATTTCAGCCTTAAGGTATACCACAAGTGGACTTGAATATCTGGAATAAAATGGCCAGAAGTTGTCCTTGATTTTTTTTCAGGACAAAATAATACAATTTAATTTAAATTTCCAACTTGATATAGGTTATGGGAACTTTCAATTTCGCCCACAATGTTGCCATGATTTTATCTCAAATTCAGCCTAAAAGTCGGGCAGGGCAAACTATATGATACCCTCCACCAATATGCGCATATAGTAGAGCTCCCGTAACAAAAAAAAAAAATCATATTGGGGATTTATGTACAGTTGATCATACCAACTATGAATGTTGCTTGAATGCGTATCACGGCTTTAGAGTCGTCTCAATTTGGGACAATTTTCTGTCACAGGTTGTAGTACCCATTAAGATCACCACATGTGAGATTTGAAACAATTCCAGAGAATAATGTAGCTAAATCATAATAATATTGGGAGGTACTGTTGTAAGTGGGCTATACGAAGACCTGGACCTGTACAGCCAATATTCTGTCACAAGCTGAAGTATCCATTACGAACTTCAAATACTAAATTTGAAATAGTTCCGGTAAATAATGTCGCTAAAATCATCAAAATACCGAATATCGGGAGGTACCATTATATGGGGGCTATATGAAGACCTGGACCTGTACAGACAATTTTCTGTCATAGGCTGTAGTATTCATTACGAACTTCAAATACCAAAATTGAAACAATTCCGGTAAATAATGTCGCTAAAATCATCAAAATACCGAATATCGGGAGGTACCGATCTATGGGGGCTATACCAAAAGGTAGACCTACATGGCCCATTTTAAATTTCAAAAGTCCTGCAGACCAAGCACATATTTGAGTAAAATTATATAAACCTACTTCAATTCGTTCGGAGGCTAGAGTGATTTCCACAGACTGATACGAAGACCTGGACCTGTACAGCCAATATTCTGTCACAAGCTGTAGTATCCATTACGAACTTCAAATACTAAATTTGAAATAGCTCCGGTAAATAATGTCGCTAAAATCATCAAAATACCGAATATAGGGAGGTAAAGTCATATAGGGTGGCTATACCAAAAAGTGGACCTATATGGTCCATTTTCATTTTCAAAAGCCCTGCAGACCAAACATACATTTAAGTAAAATTATATCGACCTACTTCAATTCATTCGGAGGCTAGAGTGATTTTCACAGACTGTCAGACGAACGGACGGACGGACAAAAATCGACATAGAATTTTATGCAGATCATGAGGGGTCTAAAATTTTTTTTCGAGGTAATACAAACGAAATGACATATTGAATATACCCTCCTTATTATATTGTGGAGGGTATAAAAATATATCGCATTTGGGCTAATATTACATATGGATGGTGGACAATAACCTTAAATCGGATGAAGATGTATATCAAAGCTATATAAAAATCTGAACAGATCTCGAAAAAATTTGGCACAGGTACTTTTCGAGCTGTATCTGATGTCCGGTTTCAAATATCCTTATTTTTGAGTGCATATTACGAATGTGAGGGACTTAAAACCCCAAATCGGAACCGATTTTCACCAAATTTGAAATACTTGCTTCTGGGCAGAATTCCTTTGGATGTGCCAAAATTCAGTCCTTCTGGGTTGATATTAGCCATTTGATGCACAATGAACCTGAAATCGGTTAAAGATATATATATATATATGGGAGCTATATCCAAATCTGAACCGATCTCAATAAAATTTGGCAGAGGTGTTTTTGAGCTATATCTGATGTCCGGTATCAAATATCATTGTTGTGGAGAGCATATTATGCATGCGAGGGACTTAAAACCCCAAATCGGATAAAACATATATATGGGAGCTATAGCTATATCTAAACCGATTTTC